AGGATATAACTGTGTCCCCTATTGGACTGTGGGAGGGGTCCTACTATATCCATGGCCACTCTCTGGAAGGGGATGTCAATTATTGATAGTGGAATTAAGGGATTACCTTCGGAGCGGTCTTCTGGCACTCCGGGCAGATTTTGCAATAATCCTGGACCGCCTTCTTCACCCCCGGCTAGAAGCGCTCCAGGATTCGGTTATAGGTCTTCTCTATCCCTAGATGAGCTCCCAACATGTGTGAGTGGGCCAGGTACAACACTTTTGGAATATAGCGTTTGGGGACTAGCAACTGTTCCACCCCAAGTTCTGCCAGTTTAGCCACCCTATATAGGAGGCCATTCTTTATTGCAAAAGGAGGAAAAGTATCAACACTCACCCCTTCCACCGGTTCCCCCTCGACCACAGCCAGGTTCCTTCGGGCTTGTTCGAGGTTAGGGTCCTCCAACTGGGCGGTCCCAAACTGTCCGGGCCTGGTGGAAGTTTCCTCTTCCGCCAGTGGGAACTTCGAAAAAAATCTTGTTTGATGACTCCTCATTCTATCGCGGAGCCCCCCTCGCCGGGGCCTCCTCTGGGGCCAGGGCCTCCCCGTCTGTCTCCTCTCCAGCTGATGTGGGTGGGCTAGATGGGGCGGCACAGGCATGTACTACCTTGACTTTCCTACAAGGTTTGTTGGTTGGACTGTTTCTCCGGTAGCCAGCTGTCCTGTAAGCCCACAAACACCAGAATATCTGCCAGTGCTGTCCAATCAGCACTGGCACCGGCAGATTTTCTACCAAACCCGCCACAACCTCAAAAGTGCCTCTAGTGGTCTGGACCTTTATGTGGGTTGTGGGATACTTGCGGGAGTCCCCATGGACACAGGAGACTGGTATAGGGGGTCCCCTGGGACCAGTGGTCCTTCCTGGCCGTAGGAGGGTGACCTCACTGCCGGAGTCCAGTAGGGCTTCTGCGTCCAGGGTCCCTGTTCTGACGGGTAGCTTTGGAGCCCTTGTGCCCTCATGGGCCCAGCACGTGGTAAGATAGCTGTCTGCCTTCTGTGGTGAATCTGAGGAGCCCGCCGTAGGCATCAGTACGTCCTCCCCCAGAGGTGGACAATGAACCAAAGCATACGGCCAAGGCAACAAAGGAGTGGCTCAAGAAGAAGCACATTGAGGTCATGGAGTGGCCTAGCCAGTCTCCGGACCTTAATCCCATAGAAAATCTGTGGAGGGAGCTGAAGCTTCGCATTGCCAAGCGACAGCCACACAACCTGAAGGATTTGGAGTGCATCTGCAAAGAAGAGTGGACCAAAATCCCTCCTGGGTTAAGTATAAACCTGGTGACCAACTACAAGAAACGTCTGATGTCTGTGCTTTTCAACAAGGGTTACTCCATCAAGTATTAAGTAATGTTTTTCTTGGGGGTTCAAATACTTATTTTCTGCATCAAATGTAAATAGTCATAAATGTTATAAAATGCAGTCTTCCGGATTTTTTGGTTGATATTCTGTTTCTCACTGTTAAAATACACTGTACATGATAGCCTAGTGTGTCTGAAGATAGTTGAGTGAGGATAAACTACTATATTATATTACAGGTAATTTAGCTGACGCTTTTATCCAAAGCGACTTACATTGCATTTTTAACCCATGTGTAACCACCGGCAAGTACGGAGGGGTGGTTATCGTCCCGTAGGGATATTTATTAATCGACCACTGACCCACAGATGACCAGTGTAAACAGACCAAGGCAAAAATATTCCCCCAGAGTACAATATTTATTTGAGTTTCTTAAAATATCAAAAAGGTACGAAACAGCTGAGACGGTTTAACACCGTCTTCTCACGATGTGGCGTGTGAACTATAGTTGAAATGCGTGTGTTTCACGGTCAATGCGTAAGGCCTGCAATGAGTTTATTATGTTAGACGTGTTTGGAGAAGCCTGTAACGGACCGTCTCATCCACCCGAGGAAACGCTGCCTGCCGTCGCCAGAGAACAGAGCAGAAATGTTCGCGTGGTCAACCACCAACATCTTCGCCTCGTCTCGTTAACGAAAGATAGAACAGATTTAGTCATAGTTTTTATTTTTTAAGATCGTTTTCGTCACGTCTTAGTCATGGAAAAAAAGGTCTTTAACTAACTATTTTTGTCATAGTTTTCGTCGACGAAATTAACACTGCTGGGAATGTCGTCAAAGAACAAAAAGAAAGGTTTTAATAAACAAATTCGATTCTATTAGGGCCGTAGACTGCAGCGGGCTAAGAAGGGGAAAAGGGGGGGACAAGCTCTAGGACAAGGCCCTCACTCCCTCCAGTGCAACAATGTAAATCAAAACCAAGAACATGCAACTAAGAAAAATAGGAGGATAAAGTAACGGCCCAATCCAAACAACCCCACTACCATCCGGGTAGGCACGCTGCTGCCAGCCCCACGTACTCCTAAACAGAAACAAATACAAAGTGTATAAATTAACTTTCTGGGGGACAAATCACAATTTGTTCAAGACACCACAAAGTAATCTAACTGAACAGAATGAAACAAATGAGACACAAAACAGGAACAAAACAAAACCAAGAAAAACAGCAGCGCTTCTAATCACGGCATGGGCTGCATTCTCTCCACATGGGCCGGCTCCCAATTGGTTTGGGCCTCCTTGAGGCACCGGGTCTGGGGCACAGGATCTTCGTGCGTGCTTTGACTGCACAGACTGGGATGGTTTCAGGACTGCTACTAACAGTCTGGATGAGTTCACAGAGGCTGTAACTTCTTACATCGGCTTCTGTGAGGACAGCTGTGTACCATCATGCACCAGGGTGAGTTTCAATAATGACAAACCCTGGTTCACAGCGGAACTCAGAACACTATGTCTGCAGAAGGATCAGGCATTTAGGAGTGGGGACAAAGACTGGTATACAGAGTCAAAATACAAGTTTAGCAAGGCGGTGAGAGATGCTAAACGACTGTACTCTGGGAAACTCCAACAACAGTTCTCAGCAAGTGACTCTGCTTCGGTTTGGAGAGGCCTCAAACACCTCACAAACTATAAGCCAAAAAAAACCCACCCCATGAATGACCTCTGCCTGGCAGACGAGCTGAATGAGTTCCACTGCAGATTCGATAGACAATGTCCTGATCCCATCCCCCACAGCTCCACCAACCTGCCCCAGTCCCCCACCCCTCCCTCCCCCAGCCCATCAGGGGCTCACGCCTCTACATCTATATCACCTTCCCCTCCCTCACCAGCAACGACCCTCTCTATTCTGGAGAGAGACGTTCTGGCGGTGAATTGCTCTGCAACACACGCAAGACTTTTAGAACCATGAATTGAAACGAGTGTGTCGACGCAACGACGCAGACGCAGAAGCATGCGCCATCCTTAAGACCTCCCGCCACACGAACAGTTTCTTCCTGTCGGCAGAGCCCGGTCCCCAACTGAATGACTTCCACCGGTCACTTTCTTTCATACTGCACTCGTCACTTTGTCACTTGTTCGCTAGTGCACTTTATTTTTTTAATAATTTTGAACTTTTTAAATATTTTTGATTTTTTACTTTAACTTTATTGCCTTATTCTACTAACCCATAGCATTAGCATTTCATTTTATTACTTGTGCACTGCTGTCTTGTCTATTGTTACACTGTCTACTGTCACGCACCAACCACCAAGTCAAATTCTTTGTATGTATGACATATTTTGGCAATAAATGTTTCCTGATTCCTGTAGTGTTATAAAATGGAGCCTTTATACCCATACTAATTGGTGAACCAGGCAGTGGGAGGGGCTTAAACCTATGGTATCACATGAGGGACATTTCCTCACTGGCTACACATTGCTTTTTACATTTTTGCCCAGGGAGCAATTAGGAGTTAGGTATCTTGCTCAGAGACACTTTGACACGGGGCAACCGGGGGTCAAACCAGTGGACACCAACCAGTTGGGGACACCAACCTTAGGGAGGGTTCCCCGTGCACCCTCTCTACTTCCTGCGCCACAACGACCCCTACTATACGGGAGGCTTTTGTGAAGGCCTCCCGGCCTCTGAAACGGACGAGTCAAAATTATGATTTTTGACTATCTCGGGTTCTCTTAGGCCGGACTGACCCATTCAATCACTTTTCTGAATAGTCTGATCCCATTTTCTGAATCGTCTGATCCCCAAAACCCACGCGAAAACGATTGAGCCCTTTCCTTAGCCACCCAGAAGGTAGAGCATAAAATGATGCTCAAAAGTGCTATGCTGTCAAATTTGACCCCTGACCGTCATTCAAAAGCAACAAGAAGCTGCGTGAGTCATGCAAGATGGCGGGTGATCGTAATGCACTGGAGAAACAGCAGAATAATTTTATTAAAAATCGGCGAAGGTAGAAGATTTATGATTCATACACTTTGATAGCTTGGTGGTTTTTGTACGTAGGATTATTCAACTTCTGCACCGCCGAGTGCACAATCTCTTGACTAATTTGTGTAAGATATTTTCTAACTCTTATAATACTTGTTAAAGTTGTGTTTTGAGTATTTATGAACGGATTAGTGCACATTGTAGCAAAGACTAACGTTTCGAACAAGGCATTCATATATTTGTTGTCGTGATGAGTATACAATAGTTTGGTTCTCGTTGTTTCTGGCTCAGTCAAACTCAGTCCATGGAAACCAGCGAGTCTGGACCCTGTTCCTGCCTCGGCCCTGCTTACTATTACTGTCATAAATCAACATTAACACCATCTTTCCTGGAGTCTTTGTGCTTTATAAGTCGACGTGGCGCAGGGGTAGAGAGGGTGCGCTGGGAACCGTAAGGACGCGTAAGTAACCCCCTAATTTCTCCCTGGGCAAAAATGTAAGTGCAATGTTGCTATGGATAAAAGTGTCAACTAAATGACCTGTAAATGTAATGCTCCCCCCCCTCACAGGTTTTTGTGAATGGTGTTATAGGAACAGGACAAATTGCGGCGCTCGGGATAAAAATAAATGATAAAAAGTGTTTTACTATAGAAAGACGGAGACAGCACTTACAGTACACAAACACACATATTGACATTTGGTTTTATTAACAATTAGGCAGACACAAACACAACACAGTTACTTAGTCACAGATCAAAGGGACTGCAATGTACAAGAAACTACTTTTGCTGGTCAACGACAATTCAATTTATAATGAAGACATTTCTGTGACGCACACACGCAATTCTGCTGGCACCCTGGTTATGATGGGATCCATGAAGTCTGATATTAACCAAGATCATTGAGATTAGATAGAAATCCATTTGAGGCCAGGCCCAACCAGCTTCTCTCTCCTTCGTCCAGTTCTCTGGTCCTGCACACGTTCCTTAAAGCTCTGAAAGCACAGGATATGGGTTTCCTTTTTAAATAGGACAAATTCACAAATGAAAAGCATAGGCACTGGCAGGTGATTTTTGACTGAGCCAGGCCAGCAGTTTCTTCACACCTCCACAAAGAAATCTACTACATGCCTATCCGTAATTTTTCATTTTTTTTTTTAAAACAAATTAAATATTAGTAAAGAATGATTTTATCCAAAGTCTTTATCCAGAGACATTAACTGTTGTTGTTTATTTACGACATAAAAAAATAAACATTTTCCTCGATATCCCTTCTGGGTTTCCAAATGATGTCCACCGTTCCCAGTCTTCAACAAAGTGTCAAAAAGTTAGAAATCTCCCCCTCACAGTATGTATACTGCAACTCAAAGCACTCAGAACCAAATTCATTAAGCAATTATTCACACCCATCTTTGTTGCTAATTGTCTCTGAATTTCCTTCTTGCCTAAATTTCCAATAAACTACTTATCTGTCATCAATGCATAGTTAAATAATCAATAATGCAAAGTGTCGGATCACTGGATATATTCTCTATAAATGTTTACTTTCTATAAAATAATAATTGTAATGCTAAATGGTTAATATACGGTAATTGTATGTCTCTTTTATAGTCTTCTGACATCTCAAAGACCCCCAGGTCATCATACACCCATTCATAGACAGATGGGAGGAGCTACCATACACAGTGACACCTGCCCAACAGGAACATTCACACATAGTCACAGCTATGGGAGCTGTTTGTGGTTTAGTGTCTTATCAAAGGATACATCAAAATGTGGACTAGCGATTAAACCGCCGAGCCTCTGATTGAAGGACCACCCTGCTCTCCACTGATCCACAGTTGCCCCTGTACAGTCATTTTATCATGTTGCTCATTGTGTACATCTGTTTCTGGGTTCTCCCTATCGGACGCGAGGGTTGAAGCGACAGAAGGTGTCAATGCTTTACATATTTCAAAGCCCCTTAATGACTTCTCCGACGTTGCTTAGTAGAATTGTGTTGACTTGAGTGTGTGGCCTCTCACCACTGGCCCTTGGCGGCAGTGCTCCTCCTCTGCTGTGAGATGCTGTAGATCTCCTGCAGCTGTTTCTTCTGGTCGTCACTGAGTGAAGCGATCAAACATTGGTACCAGGCTGCATCAGTGTTCTGGACCCCTAGCCCACATGAACAAAGTTATGGTTATAGTGTTAGAGTGTTTTCGTGCAGCTGGTCAAAATGACAACACCAGCAGATTGACTGATTAGTTGGCCGACAGCAAATACCAATTCCATAAATGGATTGAATTTTTAAATGATTTATCAATTATAATTATTATTATTATGAATCTAAATTGAGAGGGGCTTATTCTTACATTGGGATAATCATACCCCATGGAGCTGCAGAAATGGCGGTGCGCATATACGCTGCCTTATTCGTATGCTTTATTGTGTGGACATACCTCAATTATGGATTGATCAAATGCTGATTCATTCTAAGGCAAGTTGTATTTTTAGAAGGAGTTTATTTTATTCTATTTCCAAGCAGATATATGGATTTGTGGTCAAAAGTTTACATACACTTGTAAAGAACATAAAGTCATGGCTCTCTTCCGTTATTTCTAAAAGTCAGATTCTGATAGAGATTGGAACAAAAAACATTCGTGAAGTTTGGTTCTTTTATGACTTTATTATGGGTTAACGGAAAAAGTGACAAAATCTGCTGGGTCAAAAATATAGTTTATTTTAATGGCTTTCTGACATGGACTTGTTTCTTCGGCATTGTCCACATGTTCTCAATGGGATTTAACTCAGAACTTTGGGAAGGCCATACTTAACCCCTAATTCTAGCCTGATTTAGCCATTCTATTAGCACTTTTGATGTGTGTTTTGGGTCCTTGTCCTGTTGGAACACCCAACTGCGCCCAAGACCCAACCTTCAGGCTGATGATTTTAGGTTATCTTGAAGAATGTGAAGGTAATCCTCCTTCTTCATTATCCCAGCAAGGGCTTGCTTCTTGCACGGCAGCCTCTCAGTCCATGGAGATGCAAAACACCCTTGACTGTGGACAGACACCTGTGTTCCAGCAGCTTTTAATTCTTGGCAGATCTGCTTTTGGTGGTTCTTGGTTGACTTTTCACCCTCCTGACCAATTTTCTCTCAGCAGCAGGTGATAGCTTGCGTTTTCTTCCTGATCGTGGCAGTGACAAAACAGTGCCATGTACTTTATACTTACAAACAATTGTTTGCACTGTTGCTCTTGGGACCTGCGGCTGCTTTGAAATGGCTCCAAGTGACTTTCCTGATTTGTTCAATTCAATGATTTGCTTTTTCAGATCCACGCTAAGCTCCTTTGACTTTCCCATTGTAGCGTTTGAGGGCGTTTGTATCCAAAGAGCACTATTTAAATGGCCTCAGAAAAGTCACCAGCTGTAGTCACTCATAATCACTCACAAGACGGTAAGAGGCCGTGCTATGAAGCTCATTTCATTGACTTTCTAAGTCACCAAAATTGCTAATTCACGTTGCTGTATGTATACTTTTGACCCAGCAGATTGTCACTTTTTCTGTTAACCCAGTTAAGTAATAAAAGAACCAAAATTCATGAATGTTTTTTGTGACAAAGAAGTATCTGTTACAATCACTAGCAGAGAATTATCAGACATGTAGAAATAACTGGAAACTCAAGAGAGCCATGACATTATGTTCTTTACAAGTGTATGTAAACTTTTGACCAGAACTGTATGTTGTGGAAGATTTTTTTTCTGTTTTTTTCTTTGTTTTAATTAGCTGTCAAGCTTCACAGATCGAAGCAGCTCTGATTAAAACAAAGCTGCGTGTAATCAAGCATAGGGAAAAAAAGCACTAAATAGTTCATCAGCAGGCACCTGGACACTATCCGACATTTAAAGGATCACTTACGGAGTAGTGCTGAGGCAAAGAACTGATACTCGTCCTCTCCGTTGTCATAGTCCAAAGGCGTGCTGTACTCCTCCAGGGGGGTTCCCTCAAAGCAGTCGTTGTCCCAATCATCTTCATCATCTTCTTCCTCCTCCTCAGCAGCCGGGCCTGTTGGCATGCTGGACTGCTGCTGCATGGCGTTACGGTTCTCAGTCACTTCATCTTCATCACTGGGAATCTCCTCTGCCCATACACAGAATAATACAGCCATTAGGGTGTAAGCTTTCATAGTGCCATCTGTGGCCACCTTTAACTGTTGAACACAATTGGAGAAGGAAATAGAAGGGGAAGGAGTTTCCTTTTTTTCCACAAATTTAAATGTCTTCAGAATCAGAATTGTATTTATTGTCTTTAAATACACATTGACATGAATCCAACATATTGTAGCCAACATATTGTAACGGATAAATTGATGGAGAAGACGTTATCTTTCAGTCGCAATGCACACCTTCACCTTCAGACACACACGTTGTTCCCATTGATTAGGTCTCCCGGAGGTTTACTACGTAAGGGGGGGGGGGGGGGCACCCCTGTTTATAATGGTGGGAACACTGAACTGGCAGCAGTCGGTTATCAAAACATTGGCCAAATAACCAGTTTTTTCAGACTTTATGAGCAAATACAGAATCCCTTTGTGTTAATTTCCAAAGCCGCATTAAGACACACATCACTTTATTTAATTCGCTGCTTGCAAGTCGCTGTGTTGTGCCAGACTCTCAATAAAACATTTAGGACAAACCCACGGTCATGAAGATACTCATCTAACGTTACATGGAATCTGCGTGAGGAAGAGGAGGAGGGTCCATGTCGCTAAATACCAACTTTCCACCGACCACTTTTCCCACCCGGTGTCGCTCCGATCTGCAGGCGCATCGCGGAGAAAACCAATCGGGTGTCTGGATGCTAAATGTTTATACTTCTCATCCAACCACAATCAAATGCACTATGTCCGCATAGCGCCATTTATCTAGATATTTTTTTGTCTTTGTGTTGTTGAACTGCGACAAGCCGGAAGTAACAAGGCTGTTTTTAAAATGTAAGGAGAAGAAAGTACAGATATTTGCGTGAAAATGTAAGGAGTAGAAGTAAAAAGTCCAGTAAAGTATAGATACCCCACATTTCTACTTCAGTACAGTAACACCTCTGGGTGCGGGTAATTTGAGCTCGAATTTGAGCAGAATTATTTATGTAGCAGAAAAAGAAACTTTGGCAAAAAATGCTCACTAGGCCAATTACTGCCCCTCTTTATTCTGCATTCATCCCTCCACCTCTGCCTCACACTATATCTCTCCATCTTTTCTTCCCTGAGCTTTCCCTACCGTTCTGGTCTTCGTCCAGTGCCCCAGCATTGGCCAGCAGGTTGGGTTTGTTGACAAGGCGGGAAGCGTTGACGTGTTTGAGGGCCAGGAACAGGAGCAGGATTGAGGGGACAATCTGGGCTGAGACTCCCTCCAGCACTGCCGGACGAATGGGAAGCTCCATCAGCACGCTCAGGCCGATGATACACATCTTACGGTCATGAAGCCTGGGGAGTAGATCACAGGGAAGAAGAGGAGACTGAGAATGTAGGCGCCTGAAGGTATTAATGCCTCAAAGCCTTCTTAATCAGTGTTTAAGTGAAGTTCTTTATATGTTTTGCCATTCACCTAACCCAACAAATGTATGTGTGTCCTCCTCATATCACAAACTCAAGATCACATGGTCTTTCCAGGGGGTCACCCATGTGACACCACACATTTTTACTCAACATTAGTTCTCTAGAAGCTTGGAAAGGGAAGGATATTTACATACACCTGGATAGTTGGTTGGTAGCAATCACTAAATCTTACACAGCCCATTCCTTCTAAAAATAATTGTTTCTGGAAAATGCTTTGAATCGCTGTCGTTCTGGCAGTGAAATTAAGTGTTTAATGGAAAGTGTTTAATGGACACTTTTTAATCCACATTGCCTTCGTTCTTGCTCTGACTGGACCCATGGTCACAAAGGTCACATTGTGGGACTACATCCTGGCCGCATATGTGGTAGTTCTAGCTAAACTAGGTGTCTCCAGGACCACGCGTTGCCCTGATGACAGGCTCAAAAGTTGGAAAAAAACACCAGTCACTTTTGCATCTGGCAAATGTCTTTAAAGAACAGGGTAAGCAACAATCTATGATTTCCCCCGACTAGGATAAAACGGAAGTAACCTCCCCATACCCGAGGAAGAACTCTGTGTCATTCATCCACTGGTTGATGAAGTGGGCAGTGATGGGTTGAGGGCTGTGTTGGAAGTGCATGTTTTCCAGAGTGTGGATGAGCAGGGCTGGGTTGTAGTACAGAGCAGCAATGGCCACCTGCAGGCACATGGTCCTCAGCTCGCTGGATTTCACCCCCCTCATCAAACGCTCCAGAACTGCCTCCACAAAGAGAGGAATGCACTGTACGTAGGAAACAGAAATTAGGCCGCTGTTAAACCTACAGTTATTTGGTCAGTCAAAACATAATGGACAGTCCGTGATCCTCGGGATCGCTGCGTTTTCCTTCTGAGGTTACCTGCACAGAGATGGAAGGATTCATTTCAATTGATGTTCACTGACAAAGGAAGGTTTAATTCTAGTCACTTTCAGTCTGGGGGGGGTAGACACGGGCACCTCATATAAGAGGTTAAAACTTTCCGCTTTCATAATGCTTATAGTTACGGCTGGCTCAGGTTAGCCTGGACCAGCCCTTAGATAAGCTGCTGTAGGCCTAGACTGCCGGGGGGGCTTCCTAGGACAGCTCCTCTCCCTTTCTATATGATTCATATCTCATTAATACACGTTACTAATTCAGCTTCTTCCCTGTTTTTGTGGTTTCTAACCTCACAGGTTTCCATGGATTGTGGTCATATCTTGCTTTACACCTAGCTTATAACTCTCAATATTTGAATAATTTCCGTCATATGAATTGAACGTACTTTCTATCTTACATATTGTTCATTCTGTACACATCCATTCTGTCCATTCCATGAGAGGGATCCCTCTGCCGTTCTCCCTAAGGTGTCTTTCTTTTTCCTCCCCAGTTTTTCCTGTGCCGATGGGAGGGTTTCAGGACAGAGTACGCTGCATGTGTACAGACTGTAAAGCCCTCTGAGGCAAATTTGTAATACAAAATCAATTAATTGAATAATATATATATGTCTCTACATATACGTAGAGAGACACACTTTCTGTGTAGTTAATTGTTTAATACCAGTCTGCAGTACAAAACAAGGTGGGTAAACAGTTAAACATAAACAAAAGTCCAAGAAAAATAATTAAATATTGGGTAAAACACAGCCACGTGGGTTAATCAGGTTAATTAAGCATTCACACAAATTGGGGGTCAGTAAGTGTCACGGTGTGGTTCACTTCCTGTCTTATTTTGTAGTTTTCTGCCACTCGTGTCCCCGGGTAACTTCACTTCCTGCCTTGTCTCGTCATCCCCTGTGTTCCTCTAATAGTTTCCACCTGTGTCCAATCACCTGCACCTCCCTTGTGTATTTAAGCAGTGTGTCTCCTGTGTCACTTGTCGCGTCATTGTCTTTCGCCACGCATGTCTTTCGTCTTGGATCGTCGTAGTTTCTCGTCTGTGTGCTTTTGCCCCCGGTTCCTGTTTTTTGAGCTTTGACTATTAAAGTCTTTTGTTTTCTACAAGTCTGCGTTTGAGTCCTGCCTTCCACCCCGCAACCCTGACAGTAAGTTGCCTATTTACAGGAGTAAATAGTATTTGTAAAAAAATGTATGTATGCGCAGAACAAAGTAACAAAACCTGATTCAAATTCCATGTATGGGTTTGCATGATTCTGATTCACTTGACCGAGCTGTCACGGTACATCAGGCAAAGATTCTAAAAGTACCTTATTGAATGCACCGTAAATTATTTTAAAACTGAACGCACACGGAAATAAAGCTTTTTGCTGTGTTTCTGACCTGGTCAATGCCTCTCCCTCTGCACTGCAGGATGATAACCTCCAACAGTTTGGCAGCGTGGCACTCTGCATCCTCACCTGCATCTATAGTCAGCACCTACAACACATCAAAGGTCATAATACTTTACACGTCATCACTCAGCTCTGAAATAACAGGACAATAATAATATATCCTGACCTTTTTGCACATGCTGTAGATGACTTCCAAGTGCTTAGGGTTAGACAAGAGCATGTCCGTATCCACAGTAACATAGTTGTGCAAGAGGGGCATCATATCTGTAACATAAACCCACAACATCATTCATTTTACCACCATTTCTTTGGCTGTGTCAACATGAACAGAGCAAATTTTATTTTACAGGTAGACTGCTGTATTTGCTTTGACGATAGTTGGGCTACTCAATATGAACATTCATTATCACTTTAAGCAGAGTTTACTAAGAGCTGCACTGGTGACTATTTGATCATGTTGTTGTCCTCCTTTGCCCCATTCATAAAACAATGGAAGTTAGCTCTTTAGCATAACTCTCAAACCAAAATGAACATCATGAAAAATATGGTATGGTGTTCCCGCCCCTTGAAAATGTGTCTCGAGAACATGTAAGAAGGCCCTCCGTACTGCCAGAGCAGCTTCTAGTCATTAATAGAGAAAAATAGAAAACGACTTCAGGTTTCTCTTGCAGAGAATCACAGCTCTATTAAATGGTAAATAATAAATGGACTCTACTTGTATTTCTCTTTTCCAGTCCTCCGACCACTCAAAGCGCTTTAACACTTCATGTCATCATTCACACTGATGACGGGAGCTACTAAACTCACTGACACCTGCCCCATCAGTAACTAACCTTCACACACCAGAGTCACAGCTACAGGATCAATGTGGGATTAAGTGTCTTGCCCAAGGACACATGGACACGTGGGTTAGCAGGGCCTGAAATTGAATGGCCAATCCTCTGAGGACGACCGTGCTCTCCACTCACACACAGCCCAGGTTTGCTTTGGTCCAACTGTAAGATAAACTGCTATAAATCAGAGTTCTATTTGATATTAAAGCTTAGAAGATATATATGTACACAAACTATAGTTTGTTGTATGAATATATTATATATATTAACAAAAATAAAGACCTTTCTGCTGCAATGAATAGAATAAATGAAATAAAATCTATAGCTGCATCCTAATATCAGGTTGGTCCAGTGGTTCCTATGCTAAAGTAGGGAAGCATTGAAGCTCCTTTCCTTAGCATTAGAGAATTTGAACAGCTCTTACCATAGCGGCCACTTACACTACTTCTGGGTCATTTCACTCAGTTAGGAGCCTTCCTAAGCAAATTTGACAATTCAAATCCAGCAGTTAACTAATTTTTTGCCTTAAGTCTCATCCCGTCTTTTTGTTATCATAGTCAGACATCCTCCCGGTTCTTCAGTCTTTCTGCCATTCCCCGGTTTCTCCATAGCTGTTTCTCTAGAAAATAAATAAGTTTCCCTTTCCACTCTCTAGTCGTCGGTTTGCGGACCCCTCGGCTAAACTAGATGGTCACATTCTATCATACCCCAATCTCCTTTCTATTATTTCTGATGCCCATCCTGACAGAGGGATCTGTCCTAGCTGCGTTCTAAGTTTTGTACCTTGTAGGAGACTATTAAATACTTTTTGATAGAAGTCTGAACCAATTAAATTAAATTTATAACTTATCATGACAAAAATTCTGCAGCTTTAGACTGTTTCCAGTGTTAAAGTTTCAGCCAAAAACTAAAGCCTCTATTCACCACTATTTTCTGAGGCAAGCTATCCGTCCGCTGGGGGAGTGTGCTCACTGTATGTGAGCGTACATGTTGTGGTACTGGTCTGTGTGTGCGCGGACGTGTCTGTGGGTGCGTACGTCTGTGTCTTTGTATGTAATGGGTGTGTGTGCAAGCACATGTCTCTGTGTTTGTGTGTGTGTGTCTCTGCGTATGTGTGTGTATGTGTGTCTGTGCGTATGTGTGTGAGTTCCTGCAGTTGTATGCGTGTGTGTGTATGTTTGCGTGCGCACGCTACCATGGGCCATCACTACCATCACTTCACAGATGTGTACACATATATAAAATCAAGGCAGCTTTATTTTATCAACTCCATCATGGCAAGATGGGCATGAACTGATTCTTTCAACTACTCCATGTATTTAAGATCATATATTTATCTTTCAAATTTCCCACTCAAGATTGAATTGACTTTACATACCTGTAAGTAATCGAAGCAGTCATGTTGGAACACCTCATACAAGACCCAAGTAGCTGCCACATTTGGGGGGAAATGGTCTGACACGTGAGGCCGAACGCCAGTGACAAGATCTCCTCGTAGAACTCTGCTCAGGATAGGAAAAACATTGTATAATATTGTGTTTATTTATGTACTGCCTTTGTAGAAGCATGCACACATAATAGTGGGCCAAGGCACTGAGGTGCTGTCAGTAAAAGAAAGTATTTTGTCTGGAGGGAAATCATGGTCAGGTTGTAAAGGACAACACCATTATGCAAAAATGTGTTCTCCAAATATAAGCAGAAATGGAATAAGGTGCGCATAGTGAAGAAATAGATCACAGTTATGATTTGTCACAGAATGAAGATGTCAGCAAACAGAACTAAAGTGGACGGCCTACTGGAACTGCAGTGTAAATAGATTAAACCAATAGTTACTCAATGCCAATTTTGCCCGTTAAGATTAAAACCGGGAGTAAAGATGACTTAATCAACGCAAGCGACGGGAAGGCTCTCAGAGCGAAGCCTAAACAAAATGTAAGGAGTAGCTAGTAGGTCTATCGTCTTCCTTTCTTTTAT